CTCTTTCGGTCTTTTTTTCTTGAAAAGCAAATTTTTATGAGGCATGTGTAAAATTATTAAATGTAGTATAATTTTTTTGCCAGATTATTTTGTTTGTTTACCTTCTTATAGACTTTTTATTATACAGAATATAACATAATATTAAATCCAACTCAATTAAAGTTAAAGCATCATCACAAATAAAGTGCAAAACAATAAGATCAACACTTGAGATGTGCTATTGTCATCTGGCTTCGGACTTGGATTAATATCTTGTGGATGATTTAGCGAGTTTGTGTTCATATCAAAGATCTTATAATATTCTTGATCGTCCAACACGCATTTTTCCGTCGTCAAATTTTTCTCAATAAAAGGTCCTATGCACACCGAACTTATTGTGTAATTTTTAATATTCACCTTGCCATTTTCAACGACAGTTAACACTGAAGTGGTCTCTGACGTTTTTACACACCCTTTAAAGTGTACTCTACGAGCTTCATCTGCGTCTTGTACGGTACTAGCGAACGTGCAGTAGTATATATCTCCATAGTAATGTTCGATGACACTATAGTCACTTGGTATGCTTTCTGCGATCAAATACGGCTGTGCGTACCATTCCACGCCATTTGTATCGATTTGCGAACAAGTCATTCCTTTCCTGAAAACAATATTCCCGTCTTTTTTAGTCAATTTAAAAGTGTTAAAGCCCTCTTTTTTAAGAAAAGTGCACCGGTCAAATTCCAAATAAAAAGTGCCTGGATATCCTTCTTCAGTGTATAATAAATACTTAGCAGACTCTACTGGTATTTCGTGTCGTGTAATTCTGACATTATCTTTGTTACTATTAGTTGTACACTTGTCCATATACATAAACCACACAGTATTGGACTTTCCATAGCACGCAGAGTTGCTATATTCATGTTTTGCCAATTCACTAAGACCAACTTCGACTTTATAGTACTTTCCGTCTTCTTCAAAGCATTTATCAAAGACGTACTGAGTGGCCATAGTAATATTTTCACTCGAACAGTTGACAAGAGAGCCGTAGTTATACATAATAGCAGCGTGCTCCGGCAAAGATATTATAGCAGACACTTTACCACTCATTACATTTTCATCTGCATCTTTCAAAGTGTCACAAGAAGTTGAGGAAATAAACGCATTAATTTGAGTGCCATTTTTCTCAAATTTATAGTACGTGTTATTATCGTACAAGCACTTCCCAAACTCAAAGATCGTTGAAAAGTACTCGGTGTTGTATTTTTTCACGTATTTGGTCTCTTCAATCTTGTCAAATGTCGTATCGTAAATGACATTGTTTTGACCCTCAGTTCGACACGTTCTTATTTTGATTCGTGTATTATCATCCAATAAACTAGTACAATTTATATTATTGTATGCATACGTATATAAATAATTAGATAATAACATATAGCGATCTGAACCTCCAAATTTATTTTTTACACAAGTTTTGGGGTACAATTCCATATAAGCCTCACCTTCTTTATCAGAAATTGCACATTCAGAGCCTCCATCATAGACATGTCTGATTACTACATGGGGCGGCAATTCTTTTAATGTTTGTAAAATTTCTTGTGAAGTGGTATCCTCTACCCAATTACTACATGAATTTTGGGACATATATCTCTTCACTCCATTTGCGGATTTCTCATATTTGATATACCACCCGTCGTATCGGTAACAATTTGAAATTTTAAAAACAGCTTTCTTGAATCCCGAATTTTTAGTGACATATTTGGCATCCAAAACAGAAATAAAAAATGTTTGGATATATACCCCATTAGTATCACATGTATTCACTTCTCCTATTTCTTCCTCTGTATAAGCAACACTAAAGGAACTACATAATGTATTAGAAAATGATCGTTTATATAATTTTGGATATGTAATTGTATAGAGATGTGATGTTGACTCGGAGTCTATTATACATCCATTTGGATATATATACTTCAAATACTCGGCACCCTCAATAAGGACAGGGCAACTGTTTGTATTGCCAGTGTTGGAATGTGTAGCGACGTAATCTGGGATATCACCAACAATCGTGTACTCGTCGTCTTGAAGAGTTCTAACGGTCATAAATTTGGTACAAGTTTTGTCAGCCGACTTTTTATAGTCGACGGTAATTGTATTTGAGTACCTAT